CAGTAGGTTTAAAAATATGGGAGTGAAAAGCCTCTTACTTTTTGAACAACAAAGTGCCATTTCTTTCACCTCATAAGCTATAGAATAGGGTTCCTAAGAAGATAAGATTCTCTTGCCAGAAATTATGAAGGTGAATTAGGCTTTGGAAATCATATTCTGCTCTCACAGTGCCCTTTCTGTAGCACCGATCATGCTGAATTACCAATGTCTGCCTGGTCTTCTCCAGTTGAATCCCTGTGGAACGTCTGTGCCTGTCCCTTTCATTTCTGGTTCTTTGTACAAATGCTTTACATCCAGTAGGCATCCACTTTTAATATGTGTTGAATGGATGGTTGAGTGGAAGAGGGACACTCACAACCTGATGTAGTTTGAAGACAGGTAGCTGTCCTCTAGGACAGTGTGGTCTATGAGAAAGAACACCAGTTTGGAACAAGATCTTGGATGATTTTGAATTCTGGTTGAGCTTCAAATGGCTGTGGGCCAGGCACCCAACACTTCTGAGCCTTGATTTTCTCCTCTATACAAGGTTATTGATGATGGGAAAAGACACTAACCATGCCAAGCAGTCTCTCCCTACATAGGAAACATTCCATGGCCATACTCAATGCTCCCTCTCATGAAGAGATCACTGAAGCTATGGGTACTATAGCAAAGTGTGGTGAAGAAACTAGATGGTGCCTGGCTATCAGGAAAAATAATATCTGGGGTCTTCGAGGCTTGTCTTCAAACAAGCAGTCATCTAAGTGAAGTGTGAACTGATTGCACGTGGAAGAAGCACACTAGGCTGTGTCACACAAAGACTGTAAATAATAAAATCCAAATCCGAAGGAGGGAATGGCATCAGCTTAAATTGTGAACACCTAGTTTGCAGGAGGCTATGGATGACAGTGTAGCTTGAAATTCATTCGCAGGGTCCCCACATGGATTAAGCCTCTGACTATAGTCTAGGGATGTGAATTGCCTTGCTATAGACAGAAATCACTGTAAAGTCGGTTATGGGAGATATAATTAAGCGAAACTATAGTCCCTTATCATTTGATCTTCCTATTGATGCATTTTAAAGTTGTTTTAGTTTTTATTTCTTTTCTGCATTCTTTTTTTAAATCATTTTATTAGGGGCTCACACAACTTTTATCATAATCCATACATATATCATTGTGTCAAGCACATTTGTACATTTGTTGCCCTCATCATTCTCAAAACATTTCCTCTCCACCTAATTTATAAATTACTATTTTGTCATATCATGAACTGTCCGACGTCTCCCTTCACCCACTTTTCTGTTGTCCGTCCTCCCAGAGAGGAGGTTATATGTAGATCCTTGTAATCGATTCCCCCTTTCTACCCTACCCTCCCTCTACCCTCCCAGTATCGCCACTCACACCACTGGTCCTGAAGGGATCATCTGTCCTGGATTCCCTGTGTTTCCAGTTCCTATCTGTACCAATGTACATCCTCTGGTCTAGTCAGATTTGTAAGGCAGAATTGGGATCATGATATTGGCGGTGGGAGGAAGCATTTAGGAACTAGAGGAAAGTTGTATGTTTCATCATTGCTACATCGCACTCTGACTCGCTTGTCTCCTCCCCGAGACCAGGGATGTACAGTGGCCTACAAAGGGGCTTTGCGTCTCCACTCCGCACTCCCCCCTTTATTCACAGTGATATGATTTTTTGTTCTGATGATGCCTGATACCTCATCCCTTCCACGCCTTGGTATCGCACAGGCTGGTGTGCTTCTTCCACGTGGGCTTTGTTGCTTCTGAGCTAGATGGCCACTTATTTACCTTCAAGCCTTTAAGACCCCAGACGCTATATCTTTTGGTAGCTGGGCACCATCAGTTTTCTTCGCCACATTTGCTTATGCACCCATTAGTCTTCAGCAATCGTATCAGGGAGGTGAGCACACAATTATATGATTTTTTGTTCTTTGATGCCTGATAACTGATCCCTTGGGCACCTCATGATCACACAGGCTGGTATGCTTCTTCCATATGGGCTTTGTTGCTTCTGAACTAGATGGCCACTTGTTTACCTTCAAGCCTTTAAGACCCCAGACGCTATATCTTTTGATAGCTGGGCTCCATCAGCTTTCTTTACCACATTTGCTTATGCACCCACTTTGTTTGCAGCAATTGTGTCAGGAAGGTGAGCATCATAGAATGCCAGTTTAATAGAACAAAGTATCCTTGCATTGAGGGAGTACTTGAGTGGAAGCCCAATGTCCATCTGCTACCTTAATACTAAACCTATAAATATATGCACATAGATCTATTTCCCCATCCTTATATATAACTACATTTACATATGTCCATGCCTTTAGACCTCCATAAATGCCCTTTGCCTCCTAGCTCTATCCTATATTTCCTTTGACTTTCCTCTTGTCCCACTATCATGCTCAATCTTCATTTGGCTTTCAGTAATTCCTCGTGGTTACATTACCCTTGATCACGCCCTACCAGGCCTCCTACACCCTCCTCACCACCAATTTGGATCACTTGTTGTTCCTTTGTCCCTGGGTTTGTTAACACCACTACCTTTATCCCCACCTCACCTCCCCCTCTCCCATGGCCCCCCAGAACTGTTGGTCCCATTGTTTTCTCTTCCAGATTGTTCATCCAGCCTATCTTATCTAGACAGACCTTCTGCTTTCTTTTGGATTGAGGTGTTTCCCTGTTTTGTCATTGTTGTTGTTTGTTTGTTTGTTTGCTTCCTGTTTGTATTTTGTATGACTTTCTGCATATGAAATCCAGGATAGATAAATATATAGAGACAGTAACTGGATTAATAATTACCTAGAGGCATGGCAGGGAAGATCGTATGGAAATGGGAAGCTAACAACGAGTCCAAGAAAGAAGAAAATGTTATAAAGTTGATTGTGGCAATAATACACGATTCTTCATATTACTGAAGTATTAAATTGTATGATATGCCAATAAAACTCTTGAAAAAATGCAGTAGAAAGTGAAAAAACAATAGCCATTGATATCCTCTTCTAATTATTGGACTGCGGGCCACAAGGTCAGGGGCTTAAGCCTATCACCTGCTTCTTGAGAGAAAAATTAGGCTATGTCCTCCTGTAAAGATTTATAGCCTTAAAAATAACCAAAGATTTACAGCCTTGGAAACCCTAGACAGGGTGTCCCTGAGTTGGAATCGACTCGATGGCAGTGTGTTGATTTCTCAGAACCACGGACCAGAGGAGTGGGGAAAGAACTAACTGTAGCAAATAAATGAGACTTAACGCTTACTTATACTTGACCCCAATCAGACCACAGTCACTTCTAGAGGATACAACATCCCTGCTTGTTTTTGTTCAGGAGGGAACGTTTCTGTTTGGTATTTTCCACGTCAGACCAGGCTCCCCGAGCTATCTGACAGATTTTTATGCTGACCTGAAAGTACCAGTAAATTTCAATAATAATCAAGAATATTTGGCCAGAACTCACCAGTCCTTTCAGGACTCTTAGCAGATACCATGAGTGGGTCAAAGTCTGCAGCCATAGGACAGCTGCCTGGCTAGTTCAGGTGAGAAAACATGTGATCTACTGAGACTTGACCATTAGGAGGCTGCTCCCTTGTGCCACAGGGTACAGAACCAAGAAGTGGATAGTGGACTCTGACCACCTAGATATTGGGCTTTGAACTTCCCTTAAAGCTCAGTGGGGAAGCACAGGGTAAAAACAGCTGAAAAGTATATTATATGTAAATAAGGCTACAGGGAAGAGCTCTAATTGATAGACACTGGTACACAAGGGACAAATCTCTTGACAGTACGCAGACGGAATGGAAATAAAGTGCCCATCCTTCAATATGCCCTGAGGTTACTTGTTCTATGATGCTATCTCATAGAACAAGTGCTGAAGAATCCTCAGAATTACTAAGTCAGATGAAGTCAGCATTAGCCAAGCCTAGTAGAAACCCTCAAACCAGCTTCTAGTGGCCTCAAGGATCCATATGCCCCATGCCATTTTCAGGGCCATGAAGAAATGAAACCCCTCCTGCATGGGAGGGTTTCCCAGAAAATCCCAGCCTCTACGATGCCGCAGCTAGTAGTGAAGACTAGAAGAGATTGCCTTCCTTTTATAGGGTCTTTCAGAAGGAGACTATGGAGAGGAAATGGCTTTCCCAATATACCTAAAGGGGCTTGGGATGCCGCATCACCTTTGGACTACTGTACAATAGAGGGAGGGGATGATTTCAGAGTTGTTATGTGGGCACAGATGGATCAGCTTCCTACTGATGCAGTCTCTACCTACCAGGTTTGTGGTCTTTCCCTCATGGCCAAATGAGAGGTTTCACTGGGTTATCTTACATGGGGATCACTTCTCTTACACTTGCCTCTTCCCACAATTTCATAGTCCCCGCAGTGTCTGGGTGTCTGGCCCCTTTTAATATCTAGGGTTCTGAGAAGAGCATCACAATGAACAAGAGCAATTGGTAGTAGTTATGTGTTGGGCTGCTAACCACGAGGTGGACAGCTGGAAACCACCAGCCTCTCTGAGGGAGAAAAATGAGGCTTTCTACTCCCATAGAGTTACAGTCATGGAAATTCACAGGGGCAGTGCTACCCTGTCTTACAGAGTCATTATGAGTCAGAATTGCCTCAACAGCAGTGACTTACTTGACTTGACTGCATCTAGACTATATATGGAGGCAAGCGGTAAGGCCAAATCCCTGAAGAATAGCAGAGTGTAGAAGGCTCCATGCAAACCCTAACCCACTACAGACAAAAAAGCCCAAAGCCAGAGGCCTGCAACAGGCAATTCATTAGTGGTACACTGCTCACCCACTCAGGAGGGTACTAAGAAGCACCCCAACACTGCAGGCCCTGCTCATGCCCATGCTTCTACGGCCTGGCATCTGGAATGAAGCATGCTGAAGAAACCCAGCCAAACAGCAGCTCAAGATCCCTGGTAGGTGCCCAAGAGGTTATGAATGGCAAAAAAACAAAAAACAAAAACAGATGAAGAAAGATAGGGGCAGGTTTGCTGGCCTTACCTCCTTTCCACAGCAGATAGATGGGCACCACGTAGAGCATAACGTGCTGAATGTAATAGATCTCCAATTCAAAGGGGAGCTGTAAGGAGGGGAGAGAGAGGGGTGTTTCAGATTTCAATACGGTCTGAAGGGGAATGCCCTTGATCAAGACAAATACATGTTCAGGGATCCCATGCATTTCATCAGTTCGCTGCTTTTCACAATACTCCAGACTCACTGCCATCATGCCATTCCAGCTCATAGCCACCATACAGGACAGGGTAGAACTGCCCCTGAGAGTTTCTGAGACTATAAATCTGTAAGGAGCAGCTGGTGGTTTCCAACTGCTTACTGTGGTGTAACTCGCTACACCACTAGGCTTCCTTCTTTCACAATTAAGAGGAGGATGTGTGTGAAATTCATTTATTGATGGCCTAGGATAGCATTCTCTGCTGTGTATGTTGCAGAGATAGTCTTAGCTTCATAAAAAAAGTTTAGGATTGAAGTTTGAGGCTGTTACCTGACAGATATACCCCAAACCTCTTGGAGAGTCACCATGTGACTACAGGAAGAAACCAGCTTAGCGATGTTTACTTTCGTATGTAACTAACTTATCCAGTGACTTATTCAATTCTGTCTTTAAATAACGCTCAGTATTCTGTATAATATACTTGGACAAACAACCTTATGTTACTTCCTGCTCCTACGGAAGTAACATATTTAATAATAGACTGTTAGATATTGACTTAAGTTCATAAGGAGGCAAATTCATTATCTTCATTTTCCAGACTTAAAAAAAATGACTAGAACTAGTAGATTCACGAATCCTTTTTCTCCATTTGAATTTTTGGGGCCATCCCAGAGTAAGTCTTGCTTTGGGATGAAGACCAAGTAGCTAGGTCAATTCTGGCAAGTTGTGCCAAAAAACGTGTGCACCCTCCCTCTGTCCAACACACTCTCACAAATGGGCATAAACACACACACACTCACTAATGCCCTCCTGTGTCATCACTCTCAAATAAGAAACCCCAGACTACCAAACCAGATCACAGTTTCTATCTGGTATGGGTACCTTGCTATAGAGCTTGGACTCACTCAAGCTCCTTGATATTCAATTGATGAAGACTCATAGCGACCCTTATGGGACAGGGTAGAACTGACCCTGTGGGTTTCCAAGATGGTAACTCCTTACAAGTGCAGACAGCATCATCTTTCTGCCTCAGAGTGGCTGGTGGATTCAAACTACTGATCTTGTAGTTAGCAGCCCAACGCATAAACCAGTATGCCACCAGGGCTCCTGTAGAGCTTTGAAGCAGGCACAAAATGGCGAGGAAAAGAACCCCAGCAACTGGCAAGAGGCCTAGCCTTAAGGCCTACACAGCCCCCAACACACATACGCAACCCAAGGGGCAGGCCAGAGAGACAAAGGCCCCTCAGGGGAAGTGGTCAACTGCCTCTCAGATTGCCAAAGAGCAAGCACATAACCAAGATTGTGTGCTAATGAGAGGAGGCAGTTCGTCGCTCCCCTGACACAGGAGGCCAAGCCAAAAGATGGCAGGGCTCCCAGAAGATGACTCTGGACAGTGGCTCTGACTCCTGGAAATAAAAATCCAGGCAGAAGGAACATTTCCCAGTGACCCAGATGATACTCAATGATAACTTGGAGCTCAATGAGCAAAATGTAAACACCCCAGTCATTCCAAAGAGAAAATGAGGTTCTAAGAGTCCCTACTGAGCTTGTTAAAAGGCAGGTGCCTTCTCACTGCCATCAAGTTGATGCCACCTCATAGGACTGTCTGGGGCAGAGGAGAACTGCTCCTGTGAGTTTCCGAGACTGTAACTCTTTATGGGACTAGTTCTGGAGTGGCTGGTGGTTTCAAACTGCTGACCTAGTAGTCAGAGGCCCACCCCCTATACCACCCAGCTGGAAAATGTCATGAGGTTTGATAAGGGGAGCGATGGATACCTGAGAGGCCCACAATGACACCTCACCTCACGGTAATGTGGTCTGTGGGGGCTGTGATCACCCCACCGTCTTAAATTTTGGTACCAGCATTCAGTTTTGCTTGCCACCCCAAATGTTTCCACATCCACTATCCATTCAATCCTCCCCAGATCCCCAGGAGATGAGCAGGGAAAATCTTTGCATCACCTGCATTTGACATCTGGGGCAAGTGAGAGGCAAAAAGGTTAAATTACTTGACTGAGGTTGCCCAGAAAACAAAGGAGGATACAGTTCTCAGAAGGCTCAATTCTCCAACTACAATCAGAACCTTCCTACAGAAGGAAATTAATCACTCAGTGCAAAGGACCTGGGAATGTAGGCCACTTCCCCTAATGGCAGGGAGCAGAGATCCAGGAACCTGTAGCCCCTCAGACACCTGCGGCTGTTTCTCCATCTGGACTCACGGGGGCCCACTTGTTTCTCCCTCCTTCCCAATCCTCCTAGAAAGCAAACGACCATTGGCATGTCCAGAGAAGCCGTTTAGCACAGCCGTTTTGAGCCAACACTTTTAAGTCAGTCAGATCTGGGTTCTGGATTTGCTTTGGTCCCTTAACAGCCCGATGATCTCCCTACCCCCGTTCTGGCATCAGCAAAATGAAAACAATTATGCTGACACTTTCTACAGCCGGGACCTGGGTTTTCTGTTGCTGCTGTTGGTTGGCTTGTTGTTGTTGAATTTCATAGAGCAAACACTTCTATCAAATCAAATCCAGTTGCTATCAAGTCAAATGACTCATGGCAACCATGTGCATGTCAGAATGAAGTGCACACCCTAGGATTTTTCAATGGCTACTTTTTCAGGAGATTGTCAGGCCTTTCTTCGGAAGAACCTTGAGCTGCCAACCTTCTGGCTAGCAGGTAAATGTGTTAACTGTTTGCACCATGAGGGGCTCCAAACACTTATATAATACCTAGTATTAGGACCCCTCGTGGTGTTTTGGGTTAGACACTAGACTGCTAAGGTTGGCGGTTCAAACCCTTGGGAGAAAGATGAGGTTATCTGCTCCTGCAAATAAAGTCTTGTAAACCCTGACCACGGTCACTGTATGTCAGGAAAATGAGCCCTGTTGGTGTAGTAGTTACGCATTGGGCTGCTAACTCCAAGGTCAGCAGTTCAAAACCCCCAGCCACTCCATGGGAGAAAGATAAAAGTTTCTACTCTCATAAAGAGTGACAGTCTCGGAAACCCATGGTCATCAGGAATTGTAATTGACTCCATGGCAGTGAGTTGGGTTTATTCGTCAGAATCAACTCAATATTAGTAAGTTTGGGGTTTTCTTTTTTTTTTTGGAGGGGGGGTAATTAAGTGCCAGTAACTATTTTCAGCACTGTTACATGGAAATTCTCCCAATTCTCATAGTCACTGAACTATCCCTAGTATCTCGACTTCAGAGAAGAAAAACCGAGGAACAAGGAGGTTTGATTACTTCTCCCAGGGCACACAGCATGTTCAGTGGCAGAACCAGGATTCAAACCCTGGTTTTCTAGCTCTGAAATCGAAGGTCTTAACCAGTATATTTATTTCATTAATACTCCATGCCCACCCTACCTCCTGTGTTGGAGCAGGTCAGTTGAGGAGTGACAGATTATTATTATTATTATTATTATTATTATTATTATTATTATTATTATTATTGTTAATGGAAACAGTGGTGTGAACAGCAGGAGCAGTCATGGGACTGGCACCATCCTCATTTGCCCGCCCCCTCCCCCCACATGGTGACTGGGTCCAATCTTCTCTTCTTCAAGTTGTGCTCATCTTCATAACTGCTGTCCCCGACCCCATCTGGCATAGTGGCCAAGGTAGCCTATAAGAGGCTGTCACCAGCTCACTCTGGACCCCTTGACCTCCAACCTCACTTAGAGTAGCCAAGAGACTGCCTCACCAGCAGTTCCCTTCCTCTGAGGGCTACCTCCCATCTACCCCAATAGTTCCTTATGTCTAAAGACTTACAGTTTCAGAAACCCACAGAAACAGTTCTACTCTGTCCCATGGGGTCTCTATGAGTCGAACACGACTTGATGGCAGTGAGTTTGGTTTGGGGTTTTGAAGGGCCACCAAGAGGTTCAAGTGGAGGGGCAGTGAAAAAGAGGAATGCCCTCAAACAAGATGAATTGACACAGTGGCTGCAACCTGGCTGAGGACCAGTGGGGTTTCGTTCTATTGTTCTGTTGTATGCAGGGCCAGTGTGTATTTGAACTGACTTGCTGGCACCTAACACCACCACCACCAACAGGGTTAAACCAGGTGTGGGCACCACTGGCAGTCAAAGAGGAGAAAGATTTGGTTTTGGTAGAAGAGGAAGTATGGGGAAGGAGGGAGAAGGAAGGAAGGAGAGGAAAGATAAAACAACCAACCAAAGACACAAAAATGGCAAGAAGGGAGCTGAATGGGAGGCAAGAACTTATCTCTTGTCATTTATAGCAAAAATATTTATTAAGTATGTTGTTAGACATTTTTACATGGGCTCTCCTGTTTAAGTAAGGAGCCCTGGTGGGTTGGAATTTGGTTACTACAAGATCAATGGAACTTATTTGGCCCACCAGCCAATCCATGGGAGAAAGATGAGGCTATCTGCTCCCCTAAAGATTCCCAGCCTTGGAAAGCCAACATAGGTTTGCTATGAGTCAGAATTGACTACTAAGTGGCAGTGGGTTTGTGTTTTTTGTTTGGGGTTTGCTATCTTGTTTAATTATCAGAACTTCCCTGTGACGTGAGGACTATGATCCTCCCTATTCAACAGATAAAGTTGCTAAGGTAAAAAAAAATAAAGTAATTAATGTAATGTAATATAATATTTATAGTCTTGAGATGAGAATTCAGGGCATCCAGTAAACAGAAGAAAAATACAGCTCAGTTTTCACTGAGCACTGATTCTGGGCCAAGTCCCTAGAACTTCTACCTGGAGCCTCACGCCAATCCTCTTTCTCCCATTTGACAAACAATTTCAGTGAAATGGCATTCTTTTCCCAGGAGAATATTGCGAACTCTAGCCAACATACATACATCCTGGCTACCTTTCAACTAGGGAATCCTCAGAGTATAGAAAAAATGTCTTCATGGCCATGTAATAGAATGCCAATAGCAATACAAT